CCCACCATGCATCGGTGAGCCATCGTAATCTAGTCCGACCTGTATATTATTTATTCCCGAGTAGTTAGATAAAGCTTGTTGAAATGTATCTTGTCCTAAATTGTATTTAAATTCAACATCTACATAATATAGATTCTCTTATCTGAGGTTCTTCAATCCACAAAGGATCTTTTGCATATCCAAATGGATGGAATTATATAAGCAAGAAACATAAAATGTGAAAGCAGGTGCAAATTAAGAGAGAACATCGTATTACTATTACGATGTACTGAATTAGTTAGAATTGTTTTGCACCTATAAAGAATGAATACCTGTCCGTGTGAACCTTCACCTAGTAATGTTGAATCATCAAAGTTATGGGTGGCTTCCTGAAGCTCCTCCAAAGCAAAAGTTCTATAAGCAGGAAGGCTAGCTCCCAGCTTCATTGTGTCTGATATATATTCTGCAAAGAAAGGATTCTAGTGTTATGACTTATTATAAAAGGAATAGTGATGCTAATTTATTTACCTACTGCCAATTTGAATGAAGTAGTGCCTGGGGTTTTAATAAGAATAAAATTTTGAGCAGTCAATTTGAGCAAGAAAAATTGCTTTCCTGGATGTATAAGCCAGAATTGTCGAGTTTATCATTATAGCAAAAATGAAAGATTCACGAATTGTAACACGCTAAATTAGCATGTGAAAAATGCTTCATTTGAAACTGAAAAGCATGGACCTGAACAAGATTTACCATATTCTCCATATTTCTGAATATCAGAATATCCAAGGAAAACTATAAGGAATTGGTGGTACAATAAAATAAAATTCTCTCCATCTTAGTTCGAACCTAAAGACTCCAAAATAAGCTAATATGTCTTTTTGGGGTAGCAATATAGTTTTTGGAAACTATTTTCTATAATTAGTAGTTCTTCCTGGAATTTTCTGGAAACATACATCAGTCTAGTTCTTGGACTTCTATGGAAATCTCAACCTTCATGCTACTCAAATAAAATAAAAAGATCACATGGAAATGGTTGCTAATCTATACAGCAAGTTCCCTTCTTCATTTATTTTCTTCGCAAAATCAGCCTTGATCCTCGTACATTAAACAGAAGCAACAAAAAGTTGGTACCAAAAGGAACAACTATAAAAATATTAAAGAAAAAAAAAAAAAAAAGGTAGAAAATTTAAACTTACTTGCATCAGAGAGTAGCTTAGCTGTGTTCACTGCTGAGACTGTATCTGAAATTAACCTTGTTTGGGGAGTTTTAGTAGTTTGCTCACTATAAAACTTCTTAGCAGCCATGAAAGCTAAACCAACAACTGCAATTGCACCCACAATACCTCCCACTGCACTTGATGCAACAACGTGTTTACCATAAGTTCTCCTATGCTTTTCCTCACTAGGAGGTGGTATTCGCACAGCCAGAGCTTCATTGTGGCACAAGTAAGAAGGGTGCTGCTTCTGATCTTCATTTACTAAACAATTCCCAGAATACAGAACAACCCTGCTCTTAGAATCCCTTTTCAGACAAGTTGGCAAATCCCCTGACAAAAGATTTGAGGATAAATTGACAAAAGCAAGCTCAGAATTGCAAGTCATGTTCTTAAAGAGAAGTCCAGTGAGTTTATTTTCAGCAATGTCAAGATATTTAATGGAAGGCAGTGACAACCATGATGACAAAAATGGCCCTACAAATCCATTCAATGAAATGTCCAGCTTCTGGAGCTGATAGCAGGAGCCTAATGCAGTCTGGATTCCCAAGCGAAACTTGTTCTTTCTTAGCACAAGTGTGACCAACTTGGAAGGCATACTTGGAAAATGAGGCCCAAAATAGTTGTCTTCCAAATCAAGAACTTGCAAGTTTGTCAAGTTTCTGAGATCAGGCACTTCCCCTGACAAGAAGTTACTTGATAGGCAGAGAACTCTGAGAGTTTGTAAAGATGCCAAAGAATATGGCAAAGAGCCATTAAGCATATTGTTTTTCAGACTGAGAACAGCGGCATTGGCCCCCATAAACCAAGAGAAACCAGTGAAAGCACTTTCAAGCTTGGTAAGCCAACAAGAGTGGCAAAGAAATAGTCTGCTGAGAAATCACGAGGCAGTGGAGGAAACCCATTGTTGCCAATAATGTGCAGCTGGGTTATGTTGCCTTCATAACAGGATAGAGTCAAAGATGGAGTAGGTTCAATTTTGCAGAAGTCTCTGATGTTGCTTCCATGGCTGAAGCTGGTTAAGGCTGATGGGTAGTTGAGAAGCTGCTGGATCTTCAGAAGGGTTTGTGACTGATTGTGTTGTTGTAGCTGGCTTGAAGGATGGAGAGAGAGGAAAACTATGATGAGCAGAAGAAGATGTGAATGGCAAACTAGCTTTGCCATTAGAATCATCAACAAAACCCAAGTTGCAGAAACAACACTCAATAGATGAATCTATTTCTCCCCCTTCTTTCTCTGCTTCACTTCTTCCAGGAAGGCTTAAAACTTAGCTTTTGGGGGAATGAAAACCAGATTTTGCTAGCAAAAATATGATGACATTTTCAACTGCACCAAACTGACTTAGCCCCTTCAAAATCTATCCTTCAATTTATTTTCCAACTTTTTTTTTTCTTTTCTCTCTTTGGTTATGTTTACTAATTAAACATCTGAACCCAACAAACTTAGTGTGCTAATCATGGAAAATACTTCTGTACCACCTAGTTCCTTACAAACTACAGAACCAGTTAGGTCTAAAATCATAGGGCTTCTTTACTCCACAAGAATTAAAACCACTTGATCTCATGAAAAGTTTTCTACCTAACACAACTAATTTGCCCTCCTCTATCCACCTCAAAAAATCGAACATGAAACACCAAATAAGTTAGTACTTGAGCACTGTACTACGTGGTCCATGCAGTTCACATGAAGTAGATAACCAATTATTTAGTGCACCGTCAATTGAATTACATTTTTTTCTTTCTATAATTCTAATTATTTTTTCATTCTAATATTTTTTTTAATGTAATTAATAGTGTAAATTATAAGATGATGAAAATTTCTCACACACACTACAAAGATGTTATCGAAATTCAAACCTGAAACTACTGTATTTCGAATTAATAATATTTTTTTAATGTGATAATAATTTCGAATTAAAAGTATTTCCAATTCACATGTGATGACATTTCTGTCTCTCAAAAATATTTCCAATCAACTCAAAAAGTAATAATTCTGTTTATTTTTCTTAATAATTTTATATTTGTATGACTTGATTGTCATACAAACAAAATTACGAAACTAAAATTGTCATAATTAAAATAAAAGAGATCAAATGCAATTTGACCAAAAGAAATTAATCACTGCCCTGCTTGGCAGATCAATAAATTAGGAAATTCCTCAAAAGTAGTAGTAATGGCGCATTGAAGTTGTGAACTTTCTGCATGACCCAAAGGCCAAAGCAAAATGTTTATAAGTGTGTGGCAGAACGAGTGCAGATAATTCCAAGGAAATGTCAGGTTTGCATTTTGCTTTTTACGTCAGAAACTGACACACACATACCAAAGGAAAGGAAATTTACAATATGTTTCATTAATTCTTCACGAGAAAACAATAATAATAATAATAATTTATAAGGAATTCCAATTTGTCATCCCTAGCATCTATTGCTGTTCGTGAGTCATGTTCTTCTGGTGGGTGTAATTCTGTCAAGTAGATCTCAAGTATTAGTCATATGAAACAACATCTAATTATCTAATTGTTGACTAATAAATAGATGAACACAACTTTTTATGAACAATGAAAATTTTCACGATAATAATTAAATGATCAAATAATTTTTAATTTGATTAATTATTTGCAATGATGATATTGAAACGATAACTTGAAAAATGACAAATCCAATCGTGATATGACATTGTGTAATGAACCCAAACAAGTGGTTAATATCGTATTAACTCACTAACACGCTAGCTATCATGAGGTGAAGCCCTCGGAGATGAACATTGCACGGCTCCTTTTCAGTTCATTCCTCAAATTCAAAACAATTAGAGCCTAACACACATAGACTCACAAATATTTACCTCATTCAAAGTGTTAAATTCGAAGAAAAGTTTCCTTATAGTGAAAGAGCTAAATATTTTCCTCGAAGACATAGCCCAGAGAAAGTGACATATGAAAATGCTTGCGTTTCTGAATGGTTCACGGGAGCTCATATGCTCTACAAAGGTAGTAAAAGAATACAAGTAGGTAGAGGATTAAATATGCCGCACCAGAAAGAAGGGTACTATTATTTACACATCATATGAAGCAAGCATTGTTGTTTCGGAAAGAAAAAAGATACCTTAAGAATTCATAAAGCTCAGATCAGTCATTTTCCAGAGGAAAACCCACATTAAACAAGTGGGTTTTTATTGGCCATTCCTCAAGAATACAAACAAACAATTGTCTTTGTCGGCCAGACAGTTTCACATCTTTAGAGTCACGGGTGAACTTTTTAATAATTCAGTGCCATGGTGGTGCTTAACAATGGATACGTCCAAAACTATGAAGTTATTTCAGTGCTAATGCTGAAAAATAAATATATAAAAATATATTATATATTTTGAAAGTCCATCAATTATTCCATAAAAATAAAGGGTAAAACCGTTTTTTTGCAAAATTATCCAAAAACAAACAAAATACTAAAAAGAATATCGCTCTCTCTCTCTCTCTTCTATCTCTTTCTCCCTTTCTCCCCCACTCAGGTATCAACCCATCCCCACCTGCTTCTTCATAGGCTGAGCTTGTTGAAGCTTCAAATTTGAAATTGGCTTTTCCTTCTCTATTTTTCTCTGTTTATTGACCCCCAAAAAAAAAATTATTACTTTGTCTTCTGGGTTTTCTCTTTTCTCTATTCCTTCAGGGCTCTGCATATTTGTAAAGAGAACCCTTTTTTTTTTTTTTTTTTTTGAGTGGCAGATCCAGGATTTAAAAGTCGATCAGGCGAAACTTACATTAAAAACTCAACAATATGACTGAATTTCATTAATGAATATAGAAAAATACACCTAGTCAATAGACGTAATCAGCATGAATAATACTACTCTTACCACATTTTGTATACAACATTTTCATACCACATGATGTGACACCTTACTTGGACATGACACCTCGTTTAATTTAATTTTACGTTTTTTAATCTTTCAATTAAAAACCCTAGTAAAAAAAAATAATTAGACCCTACGTTTTATTCTCCACTCCATCTCTTTCTTCTCTTTCCCACCGAGGTAGCCTCCTCCCTTCTTGTCATTCCAACCATTCTCCGTTCTCCATTCTTTTAGTTGATTCTTATTTGATTTCTAGCAAACCATCTTTTCTTTCCTTTTTGCTTTATAAAGAATGATTTTATCTAATTGTTTCATTGAAAATTAAAGGAGTCGAAAGGAAGAAAAATGTCTATATCATGTTAAGGGTTATGGGCCATTGTTCATGGCTGAAAGTTCTCAGATGTATCTACAATGATTGGTCTTTTCCTATTAATTGCATTGATCCTGCTGTGTTTTTTTAATTTACTCTTTTGTATCTTTTGTGATGGTTTTTCCATATGTTCTGGAAATTAAGGAGGGTGGGAGGATGAAGGGTTTGAGGTTTAGAGGGACTTTCAAGAGGGAAGAGGAAATTGATTTGGGGAGACGAAAAGTGGTGGAGGAGGACTCAAGAATATGAGAAGTCTAACAAAGTTTATTATTATAATAATTATTAAATATATTAACCAAAACGAATGAAAAATAAGATAATTTAAAATGAAATTAAATGAGGTGGCATGTCTAAGTAAGGTGCCACATCATGTGGTACACAAAATGTGGTAAGAGTAGCATTACCTTCAAATGCATCTTTATACATAAATAAAGCTTATAAAAAAAATTAGCACAAGCTCACCCACAAATATTAATATATTATCAACAAATAACCAAAACTCATACTATACAACTCATCTAAAGCCCACATGAGAGAGAGAAATCACAAAAATGGGCCGGAAAAAGAGAGAATTCACAAAATGGGTCAGACAGCAGCCCAATCTGACCCCCACTTAGGTTGGCCCATGCTTCTTGTTTTGTTTTTTCGATCCTTCTAGTTTGCCTCTAATTTTAAATCTCTCGTAATTCGAGGACATTTTATAGATTCTATTAGGATGTCTTCTAATTTCGTCCAAAATATCCCCTCATGTTAGCGAGTCAAGAAATTCGACAGAAATTTGGATGTAAATACATGGGTCCAATTGCCAAAAATAAAATCACACAGACAAAAATGGAAAACCGGCGAACTACAAGGACCAAAGTGACTTTTGGCCTTTAAATTTTAAATTTTTATGTTTTTTTATCTGTGAATATTCCTCCTAGCCACACCCTCAAAAATTTACTCCATGTTTACGGTGTTATCTTTATTATTTAGTGCAGGAATATTTCCAAGTAGCCTCCCTCTTGCAGTTGGATGTGATTGCAGAATCCTGATTGTCGACAAAGTTACAGTAGCTCAGCCATCCCATTCCAATACAAGTTTTGCAGCCTCCCCTTCTTCAAGACTTGAACTCAAGCACCTGCATGAACAAAATTTCACTCACTTTAGGTTTAAACCAAGAATCATAAAGAGAGAGAACTCTCTGTCTTTACAAAACTAAAGCTGGTCAAAGAATACGTACCATTCACAACAAAATCAGCAGAGGACCTTGCAGTACAGCAGATGCATTGAATTTTCAGTACTTGTTCCCTGCATTCTACAGTTTTTACAGCTTCACAAATCACTATCACAACGTAAATGAATTTGCTATTAGTCTCCATCTGTCATGAGCTGTAGGAAGCACTTTTACTGTTTCGAAAAGCAACCAAACAACAAAGTATGAGACCAAAAAAAATAATAATAATAATAAGAAAATGAACATAGTATAAAGTTATAATTCGAGAAGTAATTATGAAAACAAAAGCAAGAATCCCAATGAAAATTCACGGCATGGACAATGGAACATTTGTGAAAAGAAAATGCAAATCGTCATCTTCAAAGATCAATTAACCTATTTGGGTCAATCAATTACAAGCCTAAACATATTCAGAAAAATCATGTCTTCTAATGGAGGATATCATAAATCCAAAAGGGAAAACAAAATTTTCTTTTAAAGTTCCACAACTATCACCAAGATTTGAAAAAAAATTCTGAAAAAAAAAATTCAATCGAAGATCAGAGCCAAGTTTATCCATAAAAAATGAATATTTTAGTTTTTAGTTTTGAAATGAAACGATGTGATTTTATTTCACAAATGGAACTGTGCAGAAACGTGGATGAGCAATCTTACCAAGATTCTATGAGAGAAAAAACAACAATTCAAGCTACATCTAGTTTAACAAACCTAAACATATTCATGACACTTTAGCTTTCCAGTCTAGAACAATGACAGAAATAGAAGCGTTCCTAAACAGGTGCCCAAAGTGCTGCCCAATACTTGACCTTCCCCACACCTCCTCCACTTCGATCCACCTAAAATCTTCGAAGATCCGTTGGTTTCTTTCTGACCAAATAGCTTAAATGATAGCCATCATCATACAGCCCCGTATTACTTTAGCATTCTTTCCACCACCCAATACTTTAGATTTCTCACCCAGAAAAGATAAATAGTGTTGCGGTGCCACCTAACTAACATTAATCTCATTAAATAAAAACCATAATTTCCAGCTAAACCGGCAGGATAAGAAAACATGATCCACACTCTCCCCCGCATTCTTGCATAAAATACACCAAATGAAGAATGAAAATACCCTAAAACTACCACGCAGTTCATTGAGCTCTGCAAGTAACTTTGGTGCAACCCACATGCCAGAGGGCCATATCAGTGAGAAAACTTAGACAAAGAGTATGAATAATTATTAAATGAATACTAGCACATTTAAAGACACAAGATAAGAAGTCAAAGTACTGACCCTAACAATGTCTCTGACCACGTCATCACCTTCAATCCTCTTAAACATATTCCTACAGTATGTAACAGATGAATCCTTTCTATACCATAATTAACCTAGGTCCATGCAAAAACCAAATCTGACGTGTTCACCAAAACACATAAATAAATACCAAAGCCAAGGATTCTGATTTATTATACAAATCATGTCTTTTATTATTATAAAAAGAAAAATAATCAGACAGGAAAATTTCAAAGTTTAATCTTGTGACTCAAATTCATTGCATATAGTACAAAACCAATTAGCTATGGCAGGAGACAAGTAGGTTCACAGAGTAAAAATCAAGACAATAGGAAGACATTTTTATCCACAAGTTTTAAGGTGTGAGCTATAGTTGATGCTCAACAGAAATAACTGCCTTGTCATCCACTCTTTGTTAGTAAAGACTATAATAGTCTATTAACAGTAGCCCAGTAATTGAAGTAACTCGTGATTTACCAATATTGCAAGCATTTTAATAAATTTCCAGCTTGCATTAAGTACATTCAAACCACAAATCCATATAAAACACTAAACTCGGTAGTTTAGTTGACGTGAAATATGCTTGAACAAAGTACTTTGTTGTTCTTTCTCAAAAGTAACATACAAATTAAAAGTAGATCAACCATAAAAATTGATCTGCTTATAACCGAGATATTCGAAAACAACATCCAACCCTTGAAATCATCGCAGTTATCGGTTTTAACCCTCACTGAACTCTAGCAAACAAAAGCTCTCAACTGCACAAGAAACACAAAATTTACCAGAAATAATTTAAACCCATAAAGAAGCATCCACATAAGACATTGCAACATATGCATGTCTCACACGAAAGAACCCAAATTAATACATAAAAAACTAATGAAGCACCAAACCAGAATATCTAAGCCTAGAAGTTTGTCAATGACTGCTGAGTTGTAAGTAGCTCTGGAATATCAACCAAAGGATGAAACAGTATTGCACACAATTTTGAACAAACAATTTATGTGTATGGCTTGATATGCCAAGGGTTACAATATGTTATCTAAATGGATGTAGTCTGTAGACTAGAGTAGCATAAAAAATTAGTAACTAGAAAAAGAGAACTTACATGCCTGATATAAACAATGTTGAATAAATGTGTGATTCTTGTTACTTTGGAAAGCCCAGCACGTTCTCTATGGACCGATTGGCCAAAAACACATACTATAGTGCATAATGGAGGACAAATATACACATTGTTGCACTGTCGAAACTCAATTCTGTGTGCTAATCTTTGCATTTTCATTTTCTTCTAGAAGAAATGGACAGACAGCATGTTTGTACGTTTGTCTATCTGGAATTACTCCCTTAATCACCATGTAGTCATGTAATTCAATGACTTCTTCTGGGCTGCAATTCTTACTGAAATTGGTAATAAGAGTGGTGTATGTTATAAAATCAGGAACCATACCCCTAGAAATCATTACCTTCATAAGTTCCTTTGCTTGTTGAGAACACCCAAACTTGCACAAAAAATTGATCAATATATTGTAAGTGACTCTATTGAATGAAATCCCAACCTCTTCCATTTCCCGAAACAAAAAAAATGCCTCATCAATCTTCCCACATATTAAATATGCATGAATCAATGTGTTAAAGGTTATAATGTCAACAAAATCTATCCTCTGTAATGCATCCATCAAATTTCTTGCAATATCCACTGATGCCTCTTTGCATAACCCATTTACGACAGAATTGTATATCACCAAATTAGGTTTTTTCTCCACATCTATCAATTTGCCATAAATTTGAACTGCACTTCCTATGTTTCCTTCTTTGCAGTACCAATCAATCAAGGTTCCATAGGTGACAGTGTCAGGAAGTAGACCACGAACAAACATACTGCCCAACAATTGCATGGCTCCTATCAAGTTTTTGTTTTTGCACATATAATCGATGAGGATATTATGAGAAAAAACATCCTTGACAAGGCTTTTCTCAAGAATTTGGTTATGGAATCTTAGTGCTTCAGTCACAAGCCCATTTCGGCAGAGCCCGTTAATGAGGATTGAGTAGGTAAATTGATCAGGGCATATACGCCTGTCAATCAAGTCGGAAAATAACAAACATGCTTCCTCAACATCTCCTTCTTTGCAAAGCCAATGGATAATTGAATTGTAAACAACAGAGTTAGGGGTCAGACCCCTTTCCACCATTTCATCACACAATCTAAGTGCCACCTCCAAACTCCCTCCTCTTGCATACCCATCCACTAGAGTTGCATAAGTCCTCAAATTGGACTCAACACCTGCCTCAGTCATTTCAGCTTGGATTTCCTCTGCACAAGATAAACTACCAATTTTGCAAAACCCATTAATGATACAATTGTACGAAACTGAATTGGGCGTAACACAGTCCTCCGACATTACTCCCATCTTCCTCAAAAGCTTCAAGGCAAGTTCCATATTACCCATCTTGCACGCTCCATCTATAATCATGTTAAAAGTAACAACACTAGGCCAAATTCCACTCTTCAACATCCGATAATATTCTGACATTGCTTCTAGTAATTTGCATTCCTTACAGAGAGCATAAATAACCAAATTGAAGGTATTGACATTTTCAACATACCCATATGAAACCATTTCTTTATATAGCTTCCAAAACCTAACAATTTCATTCAACTTCAGTACATGATTAAGAAAGTTATTCCAAGCGTGAACCGTAACCCAATAACCATGCATCCTCAGCATCTTAATTACCTCATAAGCACCTTCGGTCTGCCCGAATCGAGTACAAGCCCTCACAAATGCATCAAACACTGCAGGGCTTGAACAACCACAAGCTTCATCATAGCTACTAACCAACCCTTCCAAAACATCCAATGGGTGCAGACCATCTGCACTCATTAGATTCTCCATAAGAGACAAGGCATCATCAAATCTCCTACAATGGACCAACACATGAATTACAGTACAAGAACATTCTAAACAGTGAGGAAAGCTCTTGTTCTCTCGAACCCAATTGTAAAATTCTAAACCCAATTGTGGGGAGTTTCGAAACTCGAGAACAACACGACTTACTAAGGAATTGGTAAGAGTGGGTGCAATCTGCTCTAGAAACTTCCATCTCCTCTGTTTTAGATTAACACAAATTGCTCTAAAAATAATGTTCTCAGAACTTGGGCTTGAGAATTGCTTACCCAAGTGAAGGCCGCGGCAAATTAGATGACTGGTTTTGGGTAGAGAGAAGCTCAGCACCCAGTTCATCAAAGAGCACAGTTTCTGCAATAAACCTTCAGAGCAAGGAAACCCCAATGCATCATAACTTCTATGATGTTTCTCTTTTAAGATGATAAGGCTGGCTGACTGAGATACCACGAGCAAGGGCGAGCGAGGCCTCAAAGGGTTCTTCGCGCGGGGGAACACGGAGTTTTCACTTTTTTTTTTTTTTTCTTTTCAATTTGTGTTTTGAAAACAGAGTTAGGGTTTTTAACTTTATTTTTTGGAGGCTTTTTAACTTTATTGGTCCTTGAACTTATATTTTATTTTTAATTTGATGATTTTTTATTTGTTTTACAAGCGATGTTCTCTTTAATTGAATCTAAATTATGAGTTAGGAAATTGGAACTTGGGTAGGTAGCACGTAGCTACTTTATTTCACAGCTTTTTAGGCAATTAGTTCCTCATACTCTTTCATTCGTGTTGTATTACTCGCAATTGTACGGGCCAATTAGTAGTATAGCAAGACAAGTACGAGGTCGTATCCATGAGGGTTAAAAAGTTAAACTCAGTTATGTAATTAAATTATCCAATTCAAGAAAACAGGAAGTTAAGTCTAAAACAGAATTTCAAGTGAGAGTGATTGTGCTTGTGATTGTCAAAACAAATGAAACAAAATGAAATTGGAATTTGAAGTGAGTGCGAGTGCTTGTGATTGTGAAAACAAATGAACAACATGAAATTGCAAATGAAAGTAAGTAAACAAGTGTAACAAAGAGTGGTCTTAAGGGTTGAAAAACAGATTTTTAGACTAGGGCATTTGATTCACCATAACAATCCAATTCTAGATTATAAGGATTCAAGTGACAAGTCTAATTTAGATTCAAAGAGGTGTAACAAAAAGGTGTCTACTTTAGTTTCAACCAAAATACACAAATTTGAATGGTAGCTTGACATTCTGATTAGCATATAGGCAAGTAGGCATAATGAATAAGAACATGAATCATGAATCAAACTTGAAACTTGAAATTTATAAACACAGAATAGTCATGTTAGCTTACATCTAGTTATGGATTTAGCTACTCATAATGGGAAAGAAACCTAAAATGAAATGAAAAAACATAATGAATGCAACAAGAGTAGAAAAACCCTTTTCTGAAGTTCTTGTGGTGTCCAATGCTTCTCCAAGAGCTTCTCCACATCTAATGCTTCTCCAAGAGCTTTGCCACGTCTAGAAGGATGTATGAAGGTTATGGAGGTGATTTGTGATGAGTTTGGGTGAGTGCTGATGGCTGAGAAAGAGGAAATTCGTAGGGAAATGGAAGGAAGGCTTGTTGGAGCTGTTTTGGTGATTTGGGGCTGTTTAGAGCTGTAGGTTGATTGCTGAAGTATTTGGGGTTGTGGGAGTGTTCAAGGGTGATTTTTGAATGTGTTTGAGAAATGATGGGAGTGTGGAGGATGGAATGAAGGATGGATGAGTTGTGGGAGTGTGAATCCAAGGATGTGGTACATTTTGGTGTGGAATGGAAGTGATAGGGAAAAGGAAGTGAGAAATCTGAATTGAGTATGGCTTTCACCTACAACACCCACTTCACCAACCATACCTAACACATCAATGCAATAGAAAATCAGTTTCTTTTCTTGTTTGGATGCTACCAACAAATCCCACTAGAAATCATAGCTCAACCATAGCTCATCATAACCAAGCAACAATTAGCTCATGCTTAGGTCAGAACGACAGCAAGTTCATGAGCTCACGAATTGGACTTTCCTTAAGCAAATGACATCTTTGAGCCCTCCATCTTGAAGTTTAGAATGTCATCTTTCTAACCACATGTCATTTGGGCCAATCCAAGGTCGGAGGAAGAAGTTAAGGCCGAAACAAATTGTTAACTCGGTTTGCACGTTTTTGCACCATTTTGCATCTTTTCCTATCCAAAGCCACTACTGCCACCAAAAGCTCAATTAACTGAATGACAAAGACAATAGGGTTTAAAAGCACAAGTTCAACTCAAAAACATAACTAAATCATAAGTTAGAAGGGTACAAAATGATATATAATTATACACTGATCAATTCATTCCCATATTTTTGTCACATTTTATCAATTTATGGGTTAAAATTTTTCATCTAAATAAAAATAAAAATAAAAAATAAATTTTTTAAATAAAGTAAAATTAAAACTGAAACTGAACCTTACACCTACAGCCACAAAAACCCACCCCACCCAACGAGTTTTATTATTAAAAAAAAATAAAAAAAGTCAAAATTTACTCAAAACTTTCATGAATGTCAGTTCTTATAATAAAAATTCAAAAACTCACTTAAATAGACTTAAATGCTCTGAACCCACGTAATAATGTCAGTTCTCTTATCTGTGTTGAAGTTTGTGGAACCAAAATTTACATGTTTCATCTTTGTATGGTAAACTAATTGCATTGGCAATATTTATAATTTTTTTATTTGAGCAATTCTTTTCTTATAGAATTGGAGCAGCTATTCTATGTTATGTTTTTTTTGGGCCAAACACTTGGGAGAATTCTATGTTATGTTGATTCGTACTGTGTTGCACTCTTCTATTTTCTTATTTTTTCTTTGTCTGAATTTCATTTATTTATATGGGATTTAAGTATATTTAAGTGAATTTTTTTATAAAAATCGATATTTATGAAAAATGATGAATAAATTTTGGCTTTTTTTTTTGTATTAATAATTTATACAATTTCTTTTGTTCTTTAGTTCAATCACTCATGTAAATTGAATAAAATGTAGTATATGAAATGTGGTCTAGTGACCCTAAACTTTACCAATTCAAAAAATATAACAATAAATTGTGCTCTCGCTGCATTGAGGCATTTAATCAAACACTTAATGGGCATTTGATCGAATACTTGTGGGCATTTGATCCAAGAAGTCCATTCATGACAATAAGGACCTACAGAAGATTATCCCAATGACCAAAAAATAGAACCAAGGCTCTCTGGAAGCCCTCATCTCCATGAATGCTTTCATGAATAAACAAAACTTTGCAGAGTAAAGGATTTTTCGCGCGAATCTTTGTTCTTCTTTGAAGTGCGATTGTGGATTCTAGTTGAATTTTGAGTTCTGAAATTGTGAGGGAAGTTAGATTGTCCCGATTTCAAAGCTTTTTCGGATTCAAAGCAAGTGAGTTTTTCTATAACTTTAACATGTTTTTCTTTCGATTTTTGGAGGTTTTAATTTCTATGATTTCTATTGCAATTTCTATATATGAAACGTAGGTTTGAGCGCGATTTCTTTATTTTTTGTTTTATTTAATGCATGATGTATTGTTTTAATTTTATTTTTGTGCTTTTTGTTCTTCTTTGTTGTAGACTTGTGGATGACATTTGAATTGCCAAATGCACTTATGGTGCAAAAACCCTTATTTAGTTTTGTCAGAGGATTTTCGTTTTGATTGGTTGTGTAATTAGGTGTGTAGTAGGTTCAAAATGCTAAAGTTATGGCACTTTGAGTAGAGATACTCGGTCACGGAGTCAAATTATTTGTTGGAATTGGATAATGATTTAAGGGTCATGTTCATGGTTTGTGGACTAATAAAGGATCAATTAATCCACATTTTTGTTAGGGATAAAGCTGTGATTAATGACTTGCAATTAGTTGTTGGGAATATAAGTTTTGCATTTCCTTTGAATGTTGGTAATACAAGTTCTTTATCTTTAATAAAAGATTCTAGTATGGATGTTATTGCTACTATTGACTCGAATGTTATGTTCTAGTTTTGTTTGAGTTCCGAGGTGTGTAGTAGCAATGAGGATTTTAACCGTTATTAGCCAAATGTGGGAGTTCTTGATGTCAGAGGTACTTAACTAGTGATTGTGAGAGCTATATTTCTCATGAAGGACGGAAGTTTGAGAGTGGAGTGTGTGAATTTCGTGAGAATTTGTTGAAATCTTCAATGATTTAAAGGAGGTTTTGAGTTGGGAGTTCTTCTTCGATACTTTGAAGTATCGATACATCAAATTTTTAAGGATAAATATGTCTTTTCATCTTATTTTCAAAACAACATGAAAAAACTAGTATAGAAGGTAACCAGTTTGCTTGAATGCTTGTGACGCTTCGTCTCCACTTTGGCACCTCTTCGACTTCAAGATGGGCTGCAAAACCACCAAAATACCGTCGTTGCTGTTTCTCTCTCTCTCTCTCTAAGAAATATATGGGCAAGGGATTCTACTTGTCTTCCTTTTCTATGTTCGTTCATGGCCATAGTTTTCAATACGTACTCATTTTTCTCTTCTGCCTAACTCACCTTTGACTATTCAATTGTTGGAAGTCTCCAATAAATTTATATAAGTATTATTTTCTTATATAAATTATTTTTTGGTTAAGAATGTTTAGTGGGTAATACCCATTAACATTAAATGTCGGCAATACCGATTAAATTTTGACTATTCATTTGGCTGAGAATGTTTTCATTCAGTTTTCCTTTTTGTTCTGTTTGTCACATGCGAAAATCGGATATAGTATAAAGGGTTATTGATCATAATGGTCC